AAATAATATCAATATTTATAATTTTAAATAAGTTTTATTATAAAAATATATTCCACAAACAATGCAACGATACTTTTATACCTCATAAATATTACTTCCTCGGTTCTAAATTATCAGATGTTTTGTCCTTGTTAGATACATTGTTTTCATTATTAATCTATACATAAATTGTAATAATACATTCTAAATTGGAATTTGAGGGAGTAGTATTTTTCATATATCTAATCAAACTTATAGTAAAATTATTTTGGGATGGAGGTACTAGCATTTGAGCTCGTCACTCAAATTAGAAACTAAAATAAATTGTAAAGTTCTCGGGCCAAGAAAATATGCACAATTTTTTTATAGGGCTAAGAATCTAATTTTGGGGCTGCATCTGGCATCTCCCTTCGTCGCCGTCTGCTTTGGCGCCGCCGCCGCCGCCCGATTCTTCGGCCACCTCTGCCCGATTCTTTGGCCACCTCTGCAAAAGGTTCGATCCACTCCTCTTCTATCCCTCCGGCTTCCAATTTTGATGTCTGCATCCAAACTGCGGAGTTTAGGGTACGCACTTAACATCTTCGCCGTCCTATTGCATCTGGCCCCCATCAGGCGATCCTCGTCGGCGGCGCCGCAAAAATGTCGGTCTCGAAGACGGTGTCGACGAGCGCCGCGAAGACGGAGATAGGCATGCATGTGTTTCGCATCGTCGGGTACAGCCAGCACCCTCGCCGTCACGAGGATTCTCCCATAGTGTCCGGCAGTTTCTCCGTCGGCGGCCATGACTGGGCCATGCTTATTGTGGCCGATGGGTTAAACAACGAAGACCACACTGATTGCATCCCGATTTCGCTCATGCTCTTGAACCCTGTTGCCGCGGGGGTACTGGCGTCCTGGGAGGTGAGGTTGGTCAACCAGAGCACTGGGTTATCCTTCACGGTGCACAAGGAGACACCGAAGGTATTCGATGGTGATGATAACATGGTAGCTGTTTGCTGGATAAAAGGGAGCCTGTTAGAATCGCCAGCATACCTCCAGAATGATCGCCTCACAGTCGAGTGCATTGTCACTGTTATAAAAAAACCAAGGGTATCTAAAGCCAAATCATTTCCCAGAATCGGCGTGCCACCATCCAACATGGCTGAGCATTTTGGTAGTCTGTTGGAAACAGACGTGGGAGTGGATGCAACTTTCATTGTGGGTGCTGAGGCTTTCACGGTACACAAGATTGTCCTTGCCGCACGGTCGTCTGTATTCAAAGCTGAGCTCTACGGGCCTATGAAAGAGGAAGGAATGGGGCCTATAACCATCAAAGATATGCAACCAGATGTTTTCAGGACCTTGCTGCATTTCATCTATACTGACTCTTTGCCTCCCTTGGATGATCTTGAGGCAGATGATCATAGTGAAATGATCCGTCACTTGCTTGTGGCTGCGGATCGATATGCCATTGAGAGGCTAAAGCTCATTTGCCAAAGCATTCTTTGTGAAAATCTTAATGTGCAGACTGTGGCAACAACTCTGGCTTTAGCTGACCAACATAATTGTGACTTGCTGAAGAATGCTTGCATTGATTTTATCACCTGTTCAAATGAGATGGATGATTTGTTGTCAACTCAAGGTTACAAGAATCTGAAAAGAACCTGTCCTGCTGTTGTAATGGATGCACTTGAGAAGAGAAGCAAGTTCCGTAAGGCGTGAGCAGTTTATCTTAAGCTGAATCTATCTGTTCAAAGTTGTTTCACTAAAAATGATTAGCTTGCCAGCTTTTAGCAGTGCAGCTCATCCTAACTTGAACCTATGGATGAATAGCTCACTGTTAAATGAGTCTAAGAGAGGTTAGCCTGCTAGTGTTAATGTGTCCTCTCACCATTTGTTGGTGAAGTCTTAAGACTTTGCAAACAAAACGCTGATTGTATCTCCTGTTGCCTGAAGTATGATTGTGCACTTCTCTGCAAGGCTGATGTTCCCAATATTATCATTAGACTTCTACAGATGTTTCCTTGCCATCTAATTTTGTTGCATATTTAAATTTCCATGTACTTTAAACTTTTGATGCTATCACAATTTTAGTTGTGCTTCCATGGAAATTAAGTTTAACCATTTATGCAACAATGGAAGTACAATTTTGCGTAAGTTTTAGGCTCATGTGCTTTGACTGTTTCCTCAAATAAAACATTATCATGCTGAATTCTTGTTTTGTGTAAATGAAAGTGACTTGTAATGGTGCCAAAGGTAATTCTGAAGACTGGGTTCTTGTAGTTGATCAACAGCTACAGTCATAGTGTCTAAGCCCTTTGTTGCAGGTGTGTCTTTGGGGTGTTGTTTCAAAGGGCTTAGGCACTATATTTTGGAATGACTTGAGCCTCAGAAGTAAGTATTTGACCTTCAGGAATTTGTCTTTTTGACGCTTAGGATTTCAATAGACAATTACACTTAGATTTACAGATTGGATTGACTGCAATTAGACTATTTGCTTCAATCGTAATTAATGAATATTAGATTCTTTGTCAATTGTTCTACTGGCATATCCATGTTAAAATTAAGAATATTGTTGCAATAGTCAAGCAGTCTCGATGAATGAAGAAACAATAAAATTATTTAGTTCTAGAAGAATTATCTACACTGGCCTGCATATATTGGAGTTTATGACGTTAATGGAAATGCTAAGTTTCATGGCATTTTGCATAGTGTGTCAAAGTCAGACAGCACCAAGTTCATTCTGTCGTAACTCCATTGTTCAGACAACACCAAGCTGATTCTGTCTTAACTCTTTAGTTGGCAAATTGTTCCTTCTATGTTTAAATAATTGACGGCAACATTATCTCGGCGAGGACAAGTCGTCTAGTTCGATGGTGGTTGGTAACTTCAGCGTTGGGATGCAGTTACAGACCGTGCTCATAGCGTCTTCACTCTTCAGGGTTTGCTTTTGTTTGTTTGATTACCTTGCATGCCTGCTCCATTGATTCCAGCGTACACTGATGAGGAAAGGGGAGATGGCAAGGGAACCGAATGATGTTGCGGCTGTTGCCTATGCTTTAATTGAGTTAATCTTGCCGTTATTGCATCTCCTGAATTTTTAGCGACACAGGTAAATCCTTTTTTTTCCCGACCAAGGTAAATCCATTTTCTGAAGCTTCAACTAGGCCCTTTTTCGTTTGAACTTATTAGCCCGGCTTATCAGCCATGGTACAGTGTTTTTCTCTCACAACAGATCAGCATCAGCCGATTTATCAGCCACATGTTTCTATTTTGCTGTCTTCCAATGGCAGCAAGGTACAAATACTCATAAGTATTTATCTCCTTTTGAAAGTCTGTCATACTTGTTAGGATCTGGTTTTTCATAGCAAATTCGCATGCAATATTTCGTTTTAGAGTTGCGTGCTATGAGGAAAGCCCAATTTTCTGGTGGGAAGCTCACGGTGAGAATGGATTGATGCTGAAGTTAGGGGGGGTTTATCCAGAAAGAGGCCGTCATGCACACTAGATTTATCGATTGGCAATGGGATTGATTGAGTCGATCTCTTTAATTCATTGGAATTGGTATATATAAATGATTAATTTTTATATGCCAGATCTGTAACTATCATGACCATTTTTTGTATGTACAAGGTCTGTAATTAGTTGAAAACCAACAAGCCATTACCATGTGAGAGGTCTTCAACATGCCCTAATCTAACTACGAGATTGATTTGTAGCAAGGCTATTTATGTCCTTTCATTCTTTTTTTTCTCATCTCAAATAAACAGAAAAGATGCATATCGTTGCATTAAAGAAGAGAATCCAAATGACACGCCACACGACACCCACACTTTACATTGAACATATGCGCCCATGAGAAATAAAAGAATTAGACGACCCAGTCTCAACCATCAGACCTCAGGGTTTGCCTTGTTTGTGCGCTAGTCCGACATTGTCACTCTCTGCTCCACGCAACATTAACACTTCTGGGCGAAGTGTGGCACGTACCGGCCCCGTTCGCTTAGAGAAATCTAGATGAATCCGAAGAAATTTGTGAGAGAAAAATATTATTCCGGATGAAAAAAGAAGCGGATCAAGATGGGTTTAAGGGCACGCGAACGGGGCCACTACGGGTTTTTGATCAACGATTTTAATTTTTCAAGCAATTAGTATGCCCATTCACACGCGTGAAACTAGACCACCTTCCGATCATATATCTTCACACTGTAGACCAAAGCCTAGATTGTTGACGACCGGTTAGCACAAAAAAAGCATGGCAACGTTTCAACGATCCTAGCGTCTCTGCAGAGATCTTTTATTAGGTGCAGACCAGCGGTTTGGTGAACCACTTCCATGCAAGGTCACCAGATCGTCCTGTTTATCCTTTCCAACCCAGACTCCCTTTTACTCAGCTGGTGATGCATCATAGTTTACCTCGCAGCTACGTTTTCCAGCATTTTCTAAATTCAAGGTGAAACAAAAAAGCATTAGTAACAATACAAAAATAAAACAGCGCCTAATTCTGAACAAAAAAAAAAACTGTTATTAGATTGCAAATCCATTGCTTACCAAGTAATTTGATAGCTTCCTTTTATCTTCCTACTGCTTTTTCAAAATTGCACTCTCTGCATGCTCTACAGATTTCAATCCTAATTGTGGAAGAAAAACAAATCACACTTTATTTTTTAGCAGACAGAAGAAACAACTATACAAAAATGACAGGAGGCTGACAAACGGTAGACAAATTCACAATTCCATATTATTCATCCTGAAAAGTGTCAAGGAAACAGATTCCATATGATAGCAACCTTATCGATGCCCACTGCCCACAGAGTGCAAGGAAATGAAGAAGGTGAATGTAATTGTTCAATACGTACAAGGAAGTGATATGTCTATCATACAACCTAGCATTGTCTTGGAAGCGGAAAACGATAATCATCCACAAGCAAGATTTCTTGTGACGTTATTCTGAAATATGTATAAATGGTTTGAAAGCTTACCCAATACCCATACAACTCATCATGGTAGTCTGTCTTTTCTCATTCACAGATTTGCTGCTTTCAGTATTTCCCAGAATCTACAGATATGCCACCAGCAGAATAATCTTCTATTTCAGACCAAGGAATTGTATCTGCATATATATTCAATAATAATAACATATCTACAAAGCCAGATCTTCGGCTATCCTCAGCATTCAGCACCCTTGATGGTGACGACAATTCACCTGTTTTATGAAAACATGCAATTTGTAGCCCAAAAAAGACCCATTATGATGCTCAAGTCATCACATAAGAAAACCTAAACCAATATTGCCTAGACTCAGATTTTTTTCTCATTTTGAACATCCTTGACATTTGCAGTTTCAGAATTTGAAGAAACAGAATTGGCAGAATGGCTTATCTGTTCCTTCAGGCTTCCATGCTTGGAATTCTTTTTTGCGGCTGTGAAGTGTGGGAGGGGATCATAAGATAGATCAGTGTAAACTATCAACTATGTAAAACATCCAAAAACTTGTCAGGACCATGTATTAAAAACTAGTAGACGACATATGTCATAGTTACAACATGAATGCCGGTAATACAATAAGCAAAGTTACCCTTGCTCTTCCGCCTATTTGACTTTGCTTCAACAACTTCAAAACTTTGCTCTTCCCATGTAGCGGAATCATTGGAATTTGCATCATCCTCCTAAAATCAGTACATCCAAAAGAAAAATTATATCAATGAACATGATATTAAAAGGCTATGTTGTTGTTGTTGTAACATGATATTAAAAGAAAGGAAAAGGAATAACAGTTAACAGAAAGACTTGATAAAGGAAGAAAGAAAGTGGTAGAGGAATCACAATTGATTGTGAAATTGTATGCATAGGATATTCCGATGTTGGTACATGCAATGCCAGTATCAGCCGATATTTATATATATATTGATATAGTGAATGGTGCCATGCTTTCATAATTTTCCCATTCATAAAAAAAAAAAAACGCTTAGATTGACCAGAAGAAAATAAAATTAGTAGATGTGTCATCACAAGGACTTATGTTCTATTATTAATGTTTACTGGCATGGAGTAATTATAGGTAATAATCAAAGCTACACATTGGGAGTTATCGCTCGCTGGTGTCCCCAGCTTGGAACATGGAAAAACTCATATGCTTTCTTTATAAGCTGGGTATTACCTCGCTCTACAAAAAACTACACAATGGAGACCATGTCAACATCTGAAACTGCGGTGAGGATAGTTAACAGATTGAAGCAAAAGATAAACCATGAGCGAAAGAGATAAGAAAAGACGTGAATTGTTGTGAAACAGATTTCCCAGTGAACAATAGTTACCATATTGTATAACCATTTTGAGTTTTTCTTTTCAAACAGTAAAGCATTGGGCTACTTAGATTAGCACAACAAATCAATTATTTGTCTTCTAAACTGCAAGCTCAAGCTCATGATGTCAGCTCTTAGTATCCATGGGAAGTTCAGTACAACCTCAGAGAAGTATGAAACAGAACGATACAATTACAGAATAAGCAAGCAGACAAAAAACATAAGATTAATGCAGTCCAACGTTTGTTCAAAAAGAGTACCAAGAGATGACTCAATTCAAGTGATAAATTTACTTGTTCATTCATCTATACCTCCTCTTGATGTTCCATGTCTTGGCGAATCCATGCAGCCTGCAACGACCGCCCATCATCCAGTGACACATTCTCTTCTCTCCGCCCACCGATTCTAACTTCCAACCTCTCAGTGCTCACCTTCACCTCCTCAGGTTCACGACACTGTGGCACCCAATTGTCCTTGGCTGTGGACAGTACTTCAACAGAACCTTCAGCTCCTATATCACATACCAACAATGTAATCATCACATGATTCTAGCATGAAAGAGTAACGCCTAATTAATCAACCAATCAGCGCCTATATAAGTAGATTAGAAGAGACAAACTCACACTTCAACATTTGTATGATATTGGAAAACAAGAGAGAAACCAGCGAGTTCATGGACCATCAAGAATATTGGCCCAAATAACATCTGAAGAGGAAGAAGCATAAAACAGAACAGAAATATAAAGGAAGCAAATCTTCCTGCTCCATATCAAGTTCCTCTTAGTCGGGTTGATCTCACTGGTGGCCACGGGTGTTACAGCTACTACACAGATATGAACAAGTAAATCACAGAATTGCAGGCAAATGATAAATGATGTAAAATCCGTTCTATGTATACATGTAGGAGAAAAGTCATACATCACAAATAAGCACCCTAGTAGACTGATGAGAACACAAGTACACACAGAGAGAAATGTGTGTAAGCATGTTGAACCGTTCATCGCCTCATAAACCTTAGACCCTTGAAATTTCATACCTGCAAGAGAGGTGGTGCTGGTTCCAGCGCTGATGAACTTGAGGGGGAGCTCATCGCCAGACAGATTAAAGCATAGCCAGTCCAAAGCCGATTCAAACGTCGCTGAATCCTACCTCATAAAAAACAAGACACAAAAGGACACGACAACAAGCTGGACCAAACCAAAAAAAAAAAAAACAGATTTCTACACAAACAAGGGCGACAATTCCTGATCCAGTGTACCCGAAACATTTAGAAGTTCTTGTTCACATGAACAAGTGAACACAAACAGGCCTCACACCACAAACAGCAGCCCCTCTTTTAGCCAACGACTAATTTTGAAGCACCCCTGCAATCTGTGTATCATACAAAGAAAGGCAAATAAACCCTCCTTCTGTATGAATTCATGAATCAAAAAGTATGATTGACTGGATTTTAGATTTTTGAATGCATCAGTAATTCACTACATTTCAACTCAATGAAAACTGGGTCTAATTCAATAATATAAGAGAACACAATCCAGAGCAATAATAACTTAGTATAGAATATCTTGTGACAGCATGTACCAGATTAAAAACGAAATTATCCGCGATTATTTAACCACCTCGATCCTATTACAAGATCACGCAGGCAGGATTGCGAATCCACAACAGCCAGCCCAGCCTTAACCATATCACCACATACTAGAACACAAGGTCACACAATAATAAAGTAGCCCACAAGGAGAAACAGATTTCTTAGATCTTGTCGATGTCCTCGTCCTCGAACTGGATGTAGTCGCTGCCCTCCTCGCCGTCCTCGGGCCCATCGACGTCGACGCCCTCGTTGAGCCTGAGCGTCTCGGGGAGCTCCCCGTAGGCCTTGAGCAGGCGCGCCTCGTCGTTCATGTACTTGAGGATGACGTCGGCCTTGTCGTCCTGGTAGTCGCGGAGGCCGACGAGGACGATGTCCCCGGCCGCGATCCAGACCTTCTTGTGCATCTTGCCCCGGATGTGGCAGAGGCGGCGCGTGCCGTCGACGCAGATGGCCTCGCACCGCCCGTTGCCGAGCATCCGGGTCACCTGCGCGTACTCCTGCCCGTCTTCCTTGAAGACGAGCTCGCGCTTGTCGTCGTCGGCCTCGTTCTTACCACGCTTCCGGTTCTTGCCTCCCTTACCCTTGTTCTTCGGCATCTTCGCGGAGGACGAGAGCGGCGAGACGAAACCCTAGGCGCGAGATCGAGGTGGGGAAAGGGAGCGGTGCGGGTTGCGGTTCGTGGGTGTGGTGTGTTGGGAGGAGGGTGCGGCGGGCGGCGGCGAGTTTATAGGGTGAACGCGTGGGGAGGAGGGGTGGAGGCCTATGGTTCGTTGGATCTAGGGTTGGGCGGCGTGGACCGCTGGGATAGGGAGGGCGGGGTCTCTGTTTCTGGATAAGGTCTCGTTTGGTTACCATGTACTCCGCGCTCCGCGTGCCTTTCAACAACGGGCCGTCTTCCCCTCTCTCTCTCTCTCTAAAAAAAAGAGTCCATCTAAAAAAATAAGTAGGAGTACACGTTAGGCTTTCTGAGGAGTCAATTTTTTTTTAAAAAAAATAATTAACTAACTATATATAAAAATACATATATTTATGATGTGCAACCATTAGCTTTAAATTGATAGCGATATATATTTTCATAATAAATTTATTTAGAAATGTAATGGATACTACTTTCTACATTTGGTTAAAATTTAAAAATATTTGTCTCCTAAAAAAAGTGAGACGTCCACTTATTTTAAGATTGAAGGAGTATACAAAGCGGTGGGGCGTATCATGTCCAAAAACACGCTACACGTGCGATGTGGTTCACTTTCCAAGTGAGCTTCCATGTTAGGTCTAAATCCGCATTTGTCAATCGTGTGTGAGAGTGGATCGTGGCATGATCCACATCGACCTACTGGGGGAGAGAAAAATCCCCACTTGTAGCGTGGAACGGTCGGACGCCCGTGAGTTACGACCTCGCGTCGGATGCTTCTCCTCACGTGTCGCCACCTTCGAGAGTCGAGACATTTGTCGTCTTCTCGTCGACGTCATCCAACAGCTCCTCGGTGGATTCAGGTGTTAGGTCCCCTCCACGATCTCCATCTCATCTTGTCTCCCTTCCCCTCCCCCTTCCTCTTCTCCTCCTCATTGATGGATTGAAAGGTCCTAATGGCTAGAGAGAGGATGAATAGTCTAATAAAATTTCTACAACAACACTAAACAAAATGATTAGACAATTATGAAGCGAAGCGAGTTTTGCACTAGCCTACCAAAAAGCAAGCCATCTACCACAATTCTAGTTTAGATAGAGTATATCCACACAATAGCTATATCACTACACTAAGTTAGTGTGCTCTCAAAAGCTAACTAAAGAGCCACACTAACCAAACTAACAAGCTCTCATAACTAGTTACACTAAAGAGCTTGACAACTAGTTTGCGGTAATGTAAAGAGTAGGCAAGAAGGTTATACCGCCGTGTAGATGTATGAACCAATCAATCACAAGTGTGGATAACAATGAAGACCAATCACCTCGGAATCAAATGATGAACACAATGATTTTTACCGAGGTTCACTTGCTTGCCAGCAAGTTACTCCTCGTTATGGCGATTCAATCACTTGAAGGTTCACGCGCTAATTGGCATCACACGCCAAACCCTCAATGGGTGCCGCACAACCAACACAAGATGAGGATCACACAAGCCACGAGCAATCCACTAGAGTACCTTTTGGCTCTCCGCCGGTGAAAGGTCAAGAACCCCTCACAATCACCACGATCGGAGGCGGAGACAATCACCACCCTCCGTTCGACGATCCTCGCTGCTCCAAGCCGTCTAGGTGGCGGCAACCACCAAGAGTAATAAGCAAATCCCACAGCGAAATACGAACACCAAGTGCCTCTAGATGCAAACACTCAAGCAATGCACTTGGATTCTCTCCCAATCTCACAAAGACGTTTAATGTATGATGAAAATGAGTGGGAGGGCTTTGGCTAAGCTCACAAGGTTGCTATGTCAATGCAAATGGTCAAGAGAGTGAGCTTGAGCCGACCATGGGGCTTAAATAGAAGCCCCCACTAAATAGACCCGTTGTACCCCTTCACTGGGTACAGCGCGGGGTGACCGGACGCTCCGGTCAAACTGATCGGACTCAGAACCTAGCGTCTGGTCGCCCGATGTCAGCCACGTGTCGCACTGCATTCAATAGGAGTCATCTGATCTCAACGGTCGTCTGTTGACCGGACGCTCCGCTACAACTGACCGGACGCTCAACCTCCAACGTCCGGTCGTTTCCAATAAGATTCCAGAAATGACTTTATTCGACCGGACGCGTCCGGTCATGCTTGACCGGACCCTGCCAGCGTTCGATCACACTATGACTTCTTACTGTGCCGCCCGACAACACGACCGGACCCAGACCCTTAGCGTCCGGTCTGTCCATGACCCAGCGTCCGATCATTCACCGACGCTGGCGTCTTCACTGCCATACATGACCGGGCGCGCCGGTCCCCCAGAGGTCCAGCGTCCGGTCACTGTATAGCCAGCGACACTAACTCCTTTTCACCTCTAACTTCTTCACCCTTGCTCAAATGTGCCAACCACCAAGTGTATCACCTTGTGCACATGTGTTAGCATATTTTCACAACCATTTTCAAGGGTGTTAGCACTCCACTAGATCCTAAATGCATATGTAATGAGTTAGAGCATCTAATGGTACTTTGATAACCGCATTCCGATACGAGTTTCACCCCTCTTAATAGTACGGCTATCAAACCTAAATGTGATCACACTCTCTAAGTGTCTTGATCACCAAAACAAAATAGCTCCTACAAAATATACCTTTGCCTTGAGCTTTTTGTTTTTCTCTTTCTTTTTTCTAAGTCGAAGCACTTGATCATCATCATGCCATCATCATCATCATGCTATGATCTTCATTTGCTTCACCACTTGGAGTGTGCTACCTATCTCATAATCACTTGATAAACTAGGTTAGCCCTTAGAGTTTCATCAATTTACCAAAAACAAACTAGAGCTTTCATGGATGGATGCAGGCAAGGAATAAAAGAGTTCTGAGTTTTTTTTAAAGTTTGGATTGGAACCTGAGTGCTAGAAACTTTTCACAACAAAATCTCTATGCTAATGAGAGCAGCATATTGACAATTGAAGCATTTCCGGAAATGTGTGCTGCCTTTTGGTAATTAAATTGGGTAACCATATAACCAACCGTACATGGAAAACAGACAAGCCATTAGCCTCAAATACTATACATTTCCTTTCGATTTGATATAACTAGGTTCGTGCCTGTGTGTTGCTACGGAACAACTAAACTTTTATACTAAAAACACATGAATTGCACAATAAGATCACTAATCAACAAGATACCAAAGAACTGAAAGTGCTAAACATATACCAAAGGCCAAAGGCTTTAGTGTACCAAAAGTCCAAAATAGCACAAGAAAATTTTGTTGGCAACCACCTGATTTGATTATGCTAATCCAACTACAGTTACCACTCTAAGCTAGATTACAGTAAAACAAAGGTAGCACACTTTTGCATCACAAACAATATGACAACGGGCCTTACACCATGAGAAGTATATAAAGAAAATTCTTGCCTCAGCCATAGGGAATGTAAGCGGTTTACATTGCTACAAGGAGAAGCTGGTACTGGGGGTGTCTTGGGCAGGATTATGCAGTTATGCACTTATGCTCTTTTGCAATCCAAACAGGTTACCTAAGGAAACTTTGCAGAGCATACAATGTAAGATGCAAAATTGAGAATCTCGTCTAGCCCCTCCCTCTTCTTTCAGCATCTATCAAAATAGGGATTTTTCTTTGACTTGCCCGCACTGGATTGTTCCATAAACACAGGTCAGTCTTAGCAGCAGTGCAGAAAGGAGAAAAATAACCATAAAAAGGCTTATGTGTCGCATTAATGCAACATAAGTTGTAGGATGCTGACAACATGAACAAAATTAAAATAACTTTCCTATTGGGAGCCATATCTGGAAGAAATTACCCCGTCTGCAATAAACAAAGCAGTGTCGTGCCATCACACATCAAAGTAGAAGATGTCCGC